TTGCACGATTACTCCTTGAGTAGATTTGTATCAGTCCTGTAAGTTTTGTTGACACGTGTTATTTTTGTCATAGCTTTTAATGCTGATTCGGCAGCCGTTCCATAACAGCACATATTAAACACGATGTGTATCAGTTCTGTAAGTTTTGTTGACACGTAATATTTTTATTATAAATTTTAATGCTGATTTGGCAGCCATTTCATGAGAGCCCATGCTAAACACGATTTGTCATCATGTTATTTCTCAATATTTGATATTGTAACACATGCTAAAAAAATATGAGTAAACTAGCAAAAAAATACATAAGTATATCGGACTTTGAAAGTAACCAGATTAGGTGAGAATAGTCAAAGTGATTTTAAAGTAAAAATTTTTTTAAATGATCGAAGTTCTATGCACCCATTACTTAAAAAATTATTTAATTTTGTTAGTCGATAGCAATTTTCTTTAAATTTCGAAAAGTTGTGAAAATTTTATGAAAAATTATTCCGTAAAAGGTACCTTTATAGGTATATTCAATTACTGCTTGTAAATTTATAGATGTAGAAAACTTAAAATGTCTAGGTAGGGCCGAGCTCTTCTCCTAAAACATCACGCCACCATCTTGTGCGACGCATTCGCCACACGAGGACCAATGTATGCTAGCTTCGGTGTTTACGTAGAAAATTTCCAATTAGGATTTTTCAATATTTTTCGAGCTCATATGTTATCTTGGAAATTTGTACTAATCCTTTTTTATTTTTGAGTTTTTTGCCGTATTTTACTTTTGAATTTTAGTGCAGTTTGGTGATGCTGAGCAAAATTAAGAGAGAGCTTACGCGCTTGCTACCATACAGAATATATATATATATATATATATACACACTAGTAGGGCTAACGCCCCCTTGCGCGCTCCGCGCATCAACCCCCCACTAACAGATTAAATAGACAAAATACCGACATTACTCGTGTATTCATCAATGCAGAGAAGGTCTTCAACCACACGAACAAAAATTTAAAATAAATGCTATAGTAGTGTTAATAAGAACTTTAAGTATATCAGACGGTCTCTGTAGATGGACAAGATTAAAAATAACAAAATTATTTAAGTATAATATAGAAGCAGAAATAACAACGGAAGAAAAAAAAGCGCAAAGTTAATATTCCTAGAATAAAATTGAATACTGGCACCTCATCATCATTACCGTCTGTCTTCTATAGGAAACAGTTTCCCTTTGTATTAGCATGTTCTATCTTTATCAACAAATCAGAAAAACAGAGTTTTGATTCCTTAGGATTGTATATTAAAAAACCTTTATTCTCTTACGGACAATTATACGTTGCTTTATTAAGATGTAAGAATCCAAAAAGAAGTTTTATTCAAATTAAATCCGAGAATAAATCAGAAACTAGAAATTTTGTTTAGCTAGAAATTTTTCAGTATTTCGAAAATATATAACTTCAAAGATCGTCACATTCAAACAGACGTATGTTAATTCATGAAAACCATGAAAAAACAAATTTGTGAAAAATGTGGAAATGGTTTTAAAAGAACAGATAGGTTAAAACAACACATGAAATGTCACAACATTAAGTTAACAGAATGAATTAGTGTTTCAAAAGCTTAATTGTGTTTGTCTATTTAATTATACCTCCTTCTGAATTCTGTCTTTTTGTTAATAAAGTTCTCAGGTAATAAAGAATTCCATATTTGGGTAAAGTAAACATGGACCAGAAAGAGATTTTAAATGTTAAAGTTCAATCAAGTAAAACAAGTAATGGTACTTCAGAGACATATAGTGAGTAAGGTGGAGCAAAAAGACAGAGGAAGACCTATGATCAATGACTTAAAAAACCCTCAAAACGAGGTATGACTTGGGTACTAAATTACGTATATTTTTTAACATTTATAATGGTAAAACATTCTATAAATATGTAATTTTTTTGGGGGGGTGGGCGAGCGAGGGGGAGCTCACTCAAATATAATTTGATCAAAAATGACGTTAAAACAGGCAAATAACTACGTAAATTAAGTGGGATCTGAGGGCAGCGGGGGGGGGCTGAGACTCACTTTCGTCAATACAGCTATATAATATAGGGATATGTATTTAATCCTTTTGCTGTCTAGAGTGCATGTGGTGGTGGGGGACAAACAGGGTTGAAATGGGCAAGAAAAAGTTTTACGCTTTCCCTTATTTTCGTTAAGTGAGGGCCCTTCATAAGAAGCTTCGCTTCCAAAAATCATGTTGAGCCATACATTTACGAATCTTGAAATAAATTCTTTATTTAATTTAGGAACACGTAAATGTTGTTAAATTAACAATAGTTCTGGTATTATGACAAAGTATGCAATAAAACAAAGAATTTAAATTAAAAAAACAAGTTTCAAAACAATAGCTTGATGCAGTAAGAGGAGTCAAAACAAATTTTCAGTCATCAGGTGGAAGAGAAGTATTGACGGATTAACAAAACAAAAAAATTGTGATCGCACAATGCTATTGTTACATTTAGTTTTAATAACAGTATAAGTTATAATAAAATTCATAAAAGTATTGGATATGATCTCTTACAAGGTTGCCTTCGATAAATTTCATGGATTTATCGATAAGCAGCATACCTGTGAAGTATCCTTTATTTTAAATTTGGCATAAAGTTTTTATTAACATTATAATGAAAAAAATTAAAAAGAGACAATTTTTTTGAAGCATGTCTTCAAGCCAATTGATGGTATCAGTAAGTTAATGAAACGACTTTTGTCGTTAATATAAAAACAGTAGATTTGATTGCTTGCAAAATTATGATCAGTGGATACAAAATTGGTTTGAGTGAACGAAATAAGCTGTCAAAAATAGAAAGTTTGAAATTTTTTTATGGAGTTCATAAGTGTCGCGCAGTCTTGATACTAAATAAAATATGTTTTTCTTAAGTTTAAACTAATTATTAAGGAAAAACAGAATTTCACAGCATTCCAAGAAAATGCATTTATTTACCAAAAGGTCTTAGATGTGTAATTTAATCTGACCTACTAAGCGCTGTGAAAAATAACTTTTTTTTAGGTCTTCATCTTACGCAACCTCTACTTTACTGATTTTACCATGAAGTTTTTTTTTATTATTTTAACTTTAGTTGAGTTCGTTCAAATTGCAAAACATTTTTAATTTTTCTTTTGCAATGGAAACCAACTACATTTAAGGACTTTGTTCCCTTACCACAATTAAAGTTAATATACTTGTAGCAAATGTAGCTTTGCTCTGATGATCGTGGGAGTTAGGATTTTAAAGGAAGTTTCTTTTAGTATTACTCCATGTACATTAGTGAAATCTTAAATTTTGTTAGTAAATAGTGTTGTCTTGCTTTTAAGACCATTGTCAAAAGTATTTCTTAGTCTTTTTTACTGCTAAACATCAAAAGTATCAGGTCACTATCACTTTAATTAAAGATTAGCTGCTCAATAAAAAAAAATATTAGGTCTTACGTACTGTCTTTAACTTTAGTTTATAAAAAATTTACTACGAAAACATTTTAAGTGCATTAGATGTTATCATTTCATTACGCTAACCTGACTTTAAAAAAAAGTTAACATTAGATCATGAATATCCAAGATTTTTGTCGTAAAAATTTTAAACTATTCAATAGAGAGAAGAAAAATATAAATTAATATTTGATAAAAACAGCAAATAAGTGTAGTCTAAATAAGGGTGTGCCTCTTATTTACCCCACGCTTCATAAACATTTACATAAAAAACTTGCAGAACATGGTATTTTTCATCAAAAAAACAGCATTGTATGGTTTAACTATTGAATTATCTACTGTAATAATTTTAAATGTTTTGTATAAATAAACAAATGCATAGCATAATTAAAACATACTCTCATTCTCTGAACTTTGTTAAAACTTACTCTCATTTTGGAAAGTAATTTAAGTTTGTATAAAAATACTAGCTACAAAAGTATAAAAAATAATGATGATATTCTTAATTGTTTTGAAGATATTGGGGGAAAAAAAATTCTGAAAACGTCACATTTTTACAAATACTATTTTGTTAAAAAAAAAAGAAAAGTAAAAAAATGGTTAATGGACTCATGGATCTGTATATTTAACATTAGATCAACAAAAGCAATCCCCAAAAAAGTTTCTTTTTAATGGAAAAATTGTATAAGATTGACTTGAACATAAACCTTTTAAAAAAAAAAAAAACCTATTTTTTTGAAAAATAATTAGTTTCGTTCTTGATTTTTGAAAATCTCATTTTTTTTTAAAATCAATTATCTACTGAACTGACCCAATAGATCCAATAATTTTCACGAACGTTATGACACTAATTAATAATTTTGTGATATATTTTATAGCCCCCTTGAAAACTTGATTTTTCTAGATTTTTTTCTATTAAGAAGAACGTAAGGAACAATAATACGTAATAGGAGGTACTTTACAGCTGTGTTCCTTATCAATGTATCTGTTTTAAATGTACGGCGTGACTACCCGTAAAAAATAACATCCAAGATTGATTTCCCAATTAGCTAATTTCACTGACATAGTAACCCAAACCTTTTAGCACTCCACCTAAGATTTATTTTTTTTTTTTCAAGTGCTGAAATATTTTAATTGCTTAGCTGCAAATATACATAAGAAAATTTTTTTATTTTTGTTTTTAAGCAAACCGTGTGGCGTTAGCTACAGTTAGATGACAAACAAGCAAAAACCATTAGGATTGCAATTTTTTTACTAAAATAATTGTATCACGTACGTTAAGAGAGTTTTTTTGTAAAATCAGCTGTAGTTTAAGTTGAATATATGCATGAATTTTTTCCGACTCACTTGAAAATTTTGTTTTTTATTCTAGACTTTGCACAAAAAAAAAATTAGACTTAACAGTAAAATAAAAATTATATCTCACGCATGTATCAAAATGATATACATATATTATAAAGTACAAGCTGTTAATTAGAATTCAATAACCTTCATAACATATTCAGGTTTTGATATGCGTTATTTAATAATTAAGCATGTTCTTGTTTAGCCGTACCAGTCCAGGTCGTGAGAAAACACCAGATTCTTTGCTACCTCATATAGGTCCACGTTTTCCATCAAAAGAAAGGTTAGTATTCATTAATGCAGCAAGTAACTGTCACTTACAAAAAATAATACGTCAAATTATGTATAGAAGGCCCTATTTTTAAGAATTTTTTATTCCTACGTAACGAATAATTTTTTTCATAAAAGTTAATACTATTTGCCTTATAAAACATGATAAAGGAAAATGTTTAACATTAAAAATTAAGATTTGCAGTATGAAATTCATGTGTTGATTTAACTGACTAGAATATTTTAGACGTATTCTTTTTGTGAGAGTCACGTGAATGCTTTATGTAACGTTTTATTATGATTTTTATGTTATAGTTATGGTCTTATCAAAGCTTGCTAATGAAAAGTCTGTCTTATCTGATTACTCGATTGTAAATTAAAACAGTTGTGTATCATCTGTTGTTTAACAATATCATCTCTATGCTATCAGTTTTTTCATAAAAAAAATTTTTTTAATACAACATGCAGTCATTCTTTGAATAAATTATTAGGTAGCTGTTTCTTGTACGGTTTTTTAAAATTCTGAGTGTTAAATACTCAATTTCTTTTCAAGAATTCTTGGGCCATGACCAAAGATTTTAAAGACGTTATTGATTAATTAACAATGAAAAGATTGTTTCTTGCAGTGCCTTTCGAATATTAAATTTTTATTATTGAGGCATGTATAACCATTTTGTGAGTATTAAATAATGCTCAAAAATATAAATAATTCGTTATTGCTTAAAAAAAGACGATAATGAATAACTTATACTGATCACAGTATTGTATTATATAAAAATGAACGGTATAAGGTGAATCTTTAAAGTTAATAAAACTATTAGGAATATTAAGTTTTTAATATTTCAGTATTTGGTACAGCTAAACTTTGTTTTATTTTCATGTGTAAGGCTCCATTCGTTGTCAATAAAAGTCTATAAAAAAAATTATTCAAAATAACATTCTTAATTGTTCTGTTCGTCCTGACGTCACTAAATTGGTGCCATTAATATTTGACTCCTAGTAGACAACTCAGTTCCGTACAATTAAAACACGAGATTCGTATCATTCTGTATTTAAATACATGTTCTACTAAGAGATGTTTGTACATATTTATATATAATTTACATAATTTAATTTTACAAATTTTTTTTCGTATTTATATACTTATTTATACATNTTTCTGAGATTTCATTATGTTCTATAAAAAAATTTATTACATTTTTATTTTATTAAGTTTACTTGTTTTAGAAAAATATTTTCCTAATTAATTGTAGATGCAGATGATTATACTGTCAAAACTCTCCATTTCTTGAACAACGCTTTGACTACAATAATATCTACAGCATCTAAAAGTGTTAAAAATAAGATACATTGCTCGAAGCAGAAAAAAATATATCCAAAAGATACTAGAGCACTGTATTATGTACAAAAAAATAAATGTCATTGTATACAAAGTCATGGCATTTGGATTATTTGATGCACCAGCAACTTTTGAACGACTTGTAAAAAAAGTACTCAAAGGACTGTTCTACAAAATCTGCTTAGTTTATTTAAATGACATTATAGTATTAGCAGATTCGTTTTAAAAAATGTTAGTGAATCTAGAGAAGGTGTTTCTTCGCTTTTGAAAAGCTAATCTTTGAATGAGTACAAAGAAGTGTAATTATTTTAAAAGATAAGTTTAATTACTTAGTCACATTGTATAAAAAAAAGGAAATAAGACAAATCCAGAAAAAGTTAAGACTGTTTTGGAATGCCTGATTCCAAGAACAAAAAAAAACGTGTATCAGTTTTTAGGATTTTTTTCGTATTATAGACGATTTATCAAAGGCTTCTCAAATATTGCTAGACCTCTCCATAGTTTGTTATTGAAAACAAGCGGTTTCAATGGTCTTCAAGAAGTCAGGAAGCATTTCTAAAATTGAAGGGCGTTCTGACATCTCCTCCCATTTTGAATTTTTCTAGGTTAGATTGTACATTTACCATAGATACCGACGCATCAGATCGTGGCATTGGCTGAGTTTCATCTCAGAATCAACAAGATAAAGAAACGGTTTATTATAGCTTATTATAGTCGAATGTACAGTCCGCTGGAAAAGAATTGTTGTGTCACTCGTAGGGAATTATTAGCGATCGTTAAGTAATTAAGACATTTTTGTTATTACTTATACGAAGATAAATTTGTAGTTAGAACAGATCATTCCCCCTTAACTTGGCTGTTATCATTTCAAGAGCTGAATGGTCAGCTAGTTAGATGGGTATGATTATTAGGTCAGTACAAATTCGAGATTTTTCATAGGAGAGGAACAATTTACGGAAATGCAAATAGATTATCCAGACGACGATGTGAAGATAAATCATGCAAGTACTGCTATCGAGCTACAGAACAGTTTAAAGCAGAAGATAAAACAATTGGACAATGTATCATCAGATCGTGGTAAATGACATGAATCTTTCATCGTTGTTGCATTTACTTTCCGGAAGTCAACATAAAATCTTGTAGAACCAATTTTTTTTTTTTTAAGGACGAGTGGAGAACACCAGGAGTTTGATGATCTTTCGATGACTTCTTGTTTTTACATTTATGTTATAAGAGTGTCAACTTTTTTTTGTTTGTGAATAGGGACTCTTCTAAGTGGCTGTATAATTGATTTTGTTTCTGTCTCCAAGTGTATCTTATGATAAATCTAATTATGTTTTCCTACGACATTGTCATCTTAAAAAAAATCTGCATATTTAATTAGCAAATCTGCAATCTCCGACTCCAGGTAACAATCCAATTCTTCAGAGTTTTGCTGAAAAATACCCTCCAAAGTAACTCTACTTTGAAGTATTGAGTTATTAATATTATCATCATAAATATCTATTTAATTTGGTATGCTATGAGTTTCAGGGTCTGAGTTATCTCTGTTAGAGAATCTGGTTGTGGTAAGGAAGTTTTTATTTGTTTGTTATGGCTTGCTTTTTTCAGTCTTACTAAATGTTTCTTGTAGACTTTAATTAAGTCTTTCTGTAGGTTTTATACTCTTCGTAGTCGCCAATTGAATATCTTAGAAACTGTCAACGTCGCGTCGCCTGTTGTGTGGCCATATATTAAACCTAATGAGGGCCTTTAACTTTTGTTCTGTACGGGGTGAAATATTGTTTAGGAAATAAATAGTTTTTATGGTATAATCATCTTAATCTACAATTAACCTATTTGATGTTATTAAAATAGTTAATTATTATATCCGTCTTGTTGATCATAGCGATAGAAATCTCTGCGAAATAGTCCTTGATACCGGGTATATGGAATCGTACCCTCTCTTATTCAGCTCTCCAATCTCAACGAATAATCGTAGGTATCTGCTAGAGTAGCAGGTTCTTTTGCATTTACTTGCTGGCTTATCATAGATGCCAGTCCGTTTATGAACATGTGTGACGCCATGTCCCTTATTGGAGACATCATATGCACTTTGTATGTATTACCCTTATCTTCCATTAGAGCTTTTACAGCACTGCTCATTAGTAGGTTCAGATAATCATAATATTCTCCCACTAATTGGCCTTGTTGTTGACGTACTTTCTGCAGCTGAGTTTGATAATAATTATGAACGCTTCAAAGTTTCCGAAGTCCTGGCTGCTTACGCTTATTCGTATGGCACCTCACAGATTTTGCAATACTGGTGTGTTATATAAATTACTTCGGTCATCCCTTACTTAACTTTCCCCATTTCTACTATTTTGAATGTAGTCCTTAAGTAGAATATTTTTTCAATAAAATATGAAAATGGATTTAATTGCATGTTGAAACAAGAAGTTGGTGTAATGGGACTTCATCAGCGAATCAGCTACTGTCGTATCAGCGTTATCTTGATTATTGTTTGTATTTACCATTTGCACGATAAAACTGTTATCTTTGATGTATAATTTGTTTTGTGTGTGTGTTTTTTTCTTGATTATTTGTATACCATGTTTCACCTGCGTGTGTAAAATTTAAATAAAATTTAAAGGGTTTTAACTTTTTTTTTATATTTTCTGAGATTTCATTATGTTCTATAAAAAAATTTATTACATTTTTATTTTATTAAGTTTACTTGTTTTAGAAAAATATTTTCCTAATTAATTGTAGATGCAGATGATTATACTGTCAAAACTCTCCATTTCTTGAACAACGCTTTGACTACAATAATGATGTATGAAATTCTTGACATGCATCATAAAAGACACAAGCAATAAGGAACTATTTAGATGTGTATGTGTGTGTATGTGTGTGTATGTGTGTGGGGGGTTATACTGTCTGTATATACGTAGATTTTAATTTACATAAATATAAGTATAAATGTGTATGTTAATTAATTCTATCTGCATTTAAGTGTATACACATATGCTCTATATTATGTTTGTATAGTATATGATACATACATACATATGTGTATCATACATGGATACAAATATTTATTTTCGCTCATACATGAATGTAGATATAGTCGTTTACATACGTATATGAGGCATTTCATGCGAAATGTCATAGGCCCGCTGCGTGAGCGGTAAAAGTCACTGTTTTTAGCTCAATTTTTCGGCCTTATTTCTATCCTAAAAAAATGTTGCAAGTAGTATTTTCTATGCAGTTTTCAGTCAGCTTTCTGATAGTTTAGTTAGTTTTCCAAAAAAACTTAATTTTCACTAAAAAAAAGCATAAAACATGCCATATCACAAAAAACATTTCAAGTTTCTTTTTTCATAGACTAGATGCTTGGCCTTCTGAATGCGCGTCAAGGGCCAGCGTGGTTCCGATGTGCGCTACGTTTGTGTTAATTGTATATGTATACGTATGTGTACATCATGAAAATCTCAAACTAATTCTTGCAGCTATAAATCTGTAACATTTGATGCAAAATCCTGAACTGGCTCTTAAAAACTACTACGACTGAATTGAAGCAGTAGTGTGCTGTAACTCTATTAAAAAATGTTTTTCAGGTGTAGAATGTCTAGATAGTTGCAACATATCAACATTACGTCTACATCATGTTTAATATTTTGAAAAACATAATATTTTTGATGAATTGTGGTTTCAACCAGACAGATGTACTATTGCTACACAAACTTTAAATTCTCCTGATTTCGTTGACTAATTAGAAGAAAAATTATTTTAACACAAAACTTTTGATTATTTTGCTACGAAACAATTAATTTTTATTAATTACCCGAAAAAAGATCTGGAAGGTAAAGAATTTATTATAACATATACATTTTTAAAAAATTATGCTTTTCTTATGCAGAATTCAACCAAATCTTTTCATTGGAACAATCACCAAACTTCCATTTTTACAGTTATGTTTTATTATAAAAAATAAGATGAGCTCAAACACATAAGTCATGCTGTTCTTTCTGATAAGCTAAACCTACAACTGCTGTATACGAGCATGAAAAAGTTATAAGTTACTGGATGGGCAAGTCTTTAAGTTCCCTCTTATAACCGAATTTTAACAGCAGGAAACTTGTACGACTAGGCAAAGAATTATTGCAAAGAAACAAAAGTTTTTTATTTAAGTAAAGAGTCGTATGAGTATAATGTAGGATTAAACTCAAATTTCGAGCTGATGGACCATAGTTTATACTAGGTACTTCGAAATTCCACGTTATCATTCCAGTCGATGATAAAACATTGAAATTTAAAAAAAAATACTTATGAGCTCTAATTATTAATTTTTTTCTAAACAAAATAATAAAATCAAAAAGCCTATATCTTAAACTTTATCTAAAACTAAAAAAAAATAGAAAATATCTGTTTGAATAGTATTTCCAAATAAATAATATTTATAGTTAACTTGAGCAGAGTGCGGTGCGGCGCGACGCCGGCCTTTGATGGCACTTAAACGGCCGAGCGTCTACTCTTTGGTACCGTTTTACTCGAATTTTTGTTAAGTGTAGCATATTTTGTGTTTTCTTAGAGAAAATATACTTTTTAGGAAAACTAACGACACTATCGGAAAGCTGACTAAAAATTGCATCTAAAATGCTATTTGCAACATTTTAAGATAGGAAAAAGGCCGAGAAAATGAGCTGAAAACAGTGAATTTTTAGCGCCCGCACGGTGGGCCTGGGATGTTTTGCGTAATACGCCGAGGATACGATGTATAAACATACAAGCAGTCGTATACATGTATAGTTACTACTAATATTTGTATATATACTATACATATTTAAACAAATTGATGTATACATGTGTGTTGTAAGAGGGTATGTATTGATTAATATCAACACGTTAATACCTACGTGTATGTCATATATAATGTATATTATTATACGTGTGATTATATACATGCACGTATATTATAATATTGACACCTACATGTATGTATGTACATACGTATAAATATGTATGTAAACATACAAGTATAAACTTATGGATACAAATATTTATATATTTACATGTATATGTAGATTAATATATCCGTAAACTCGTGCAGACGTGCACCGTCAACAACTCTCTCTGTCTCTCTCGCTAAGAATACGTGTGGAGTGGGTACTCTTACGGTTTTTCGTAACGTTGGTCTTTCTGTGTTAGGTCCACTTGCCCAGTCCTAGCGAAAAAAGCATAGCTTAAGAAATAACATGCTTTAGTTTCAAACATTAGATTTCTACTGCAAAATTGTTATATGACAACGAGTAATATTTTACTATTGTGTTGTGTTAAATTACACTTATTCTATTATTCTATTCTTATGTAGTTTATTCCTAACTACACAATTCTGTCCCCTTTTCTTCCAAAACTCCTCCCTACTTAAGTGTACTTGTCTTGTGTGAGCTCCTAGGGCACTGAATCTTTGACATGACTCTATTATTTATTTTACTGTATGTGTAACTGTTTAACAAGCAATTGCCTCAAGATTACTACGGTTATTACTAGTTTTAATTCGTGTATTTTTTTTATTAACTTTCTACCTCACCGTTCTAACCTTTTTTAAACTGATAGCTATCTTACGAATGAGTTTACCATGTGTTGACATTCTTAAAAGCACAGGTCACTAATGGTCCAGGTATAATCTGTATAAGTTAATTGATCATCCAAATAAATGATAAAATAAATGATTTCTTATTTTCCTGAGAACTAAGTTGGTAGAAAAATCTCAATCAAATAATATTAATATTCTTTGACACAACTTTCACCCACGACTCTCCACAAGTATTAACATCTGAGAAACTATTCGCTGAGTCATGCTTTGTGTATCAAGTTTTAGTTGATACTAAACAATGTACGAAGAGAAAAAAAAAACATGAAAATTTAACAATTAGCCTTATAACTATCACAAGAACATGATTTAGTGTTCAATAGCAAGGTAAACATTATTGTTTAATAATCCTTTAATTCTGGAATACTCTAAAAGAAAAAAATGAAGTTGTTTTATTTTTTTTTATACACAAAATATTGCTAAAAACCTTCTGTATAAAAAATTACTCATTTTTAATTAGCAGTGTTATCATACACTAATTATGAATATTAAATCGTCAAACAAAAAAAAAAAAACATTTGGATGGACTTATTAATAAAAGAATACTAAATTTTTCGAAATGATTTTTCAAGTATTATAAATATTTAATTTTATCTTATAATTCAATGATGTTTTAATTATGTTACGACAGCAAAGGGGCAGAGCTCGAATTTCAAAAACCACGTGTAAAGCATTTATGGGATAGCTGGAGAAACGTCTGGATGTTGGCCTGGAAACGGCAAAGATGTCTACAAGACAAATTAAATTACATTGAAGACTTAGAAAAAGTTGCTAACTTCAGCTGGGAGGACTGGCGCAAGAGAGTAATATTAAGATCTATATAACAAACTTATACGATGTAACTTTGTTGTGCTGACTCATTAATATTAATTAACGTATTTTTAGTTCCTGAAATTCATGAACCATAAAAAATCAAGATTGACAGATCTTTTTAGAAAAATGGATAAAAATAATGATGGCCTTATTCCCAGAGACGATTTTATTCAAGGAATTCTCAATACAAGTAGGTTTTTTAATTAATACTTATCATGTTAAATATTTTAAACACAGTTATTTTAATATAACTAAGTGATATGTGCAGAATTTGATTCGTCACGACTTGAAATGGGAGCAGTTGCTGATTTATTTGATCGACATGGAGAGGGACTTATTGATTGGAAGGAATTTATTGCAGCATTGAGGCCAGACTGGGAAGAAAGACGTACACATAATGATACTGATAAGATTCATGATGAGGTGAAACGCTTGGTAATGTTGTGTACATGTCGACAAAAATTCAGAGTTTTTCAAGTTGGGGAAGGGAAATATAGAGTGAGTGATAAAATTCAAACTCATAAATAATTTTGACAACAGGACAGAAAAAATAAACAGGTTTAATACATTTTTTTTGTTAGTTTGGTGATAGTCAAAAACTGCGTTTAGTAAGAATTCTACGTTCTACTGTAATGGTTCGAGTTGGAGGAGGATGGGTGGCCCTCGATGAATTTCTAGTCAAGAACGATCCATGTCGTGGTAAGTTTTTTTTTGTGTATCACGATACCTTAATTATATGTATTACTAGATATCGGTTTAGTATTAGTACCAAACACGCTTACCAATAAACCAATACCACTTTACGCCCTTACCTTACTATTAACTTCAATATTAAATATTTTTAAAATGTTACCAACTAACATAATGGCTTAAGTAATGCATATATTTATGTTAATAACGTTACTGACGATTACGACAATGACGACGACGATAACGATGATAACAAGAACGTCTACGTCCATGACGATGGCAACATTAGAGATAAATACGCCCATGACAATGATGCATCGCGACTGTAGCTATTCTCAATGAGAATGAAATTGATGACTTTTGACGAAATATATGAAAGTTTTCTCTTGCCACAAAAGAAAATTCATTTCAGGGCTTTCTCTGTACGCGAGTACGCAGTACGTGTATAAGGACCGTAAGGGAAATATATATTTTCATAAAAAGTATTATTACTTAGATCTTTTGACAAAGGCTATTTAATTTGTTTGCATTTTTCAGAAAAAAAATTTTTTGGAGTCTCTTTATTTTATGAATTAAGAATTTTATCACGAAAGATTATTTTAAACTTGTCAGGATAATAAAGTTATTTTTTGTTGAGTGTCTTTATTTTTTTGTGACAAACTCTAATTGTATGTTTATCTTCTACTGTTAATAATAGTTATACATGTTTATTTAAACAAAATTCTTGTTTTAACAAAAGCGTAAAGTGCCGTTTTTAAAGAGAACGGTCACAATTGCTATGAAGTCTGAATTGTTAAATTTCCATTTTGAAGGTTTGCATATTGTTAGGTTTAAGAATATTATGATTCATAGTTTTAAAATAAACTGAAATTCTTCAGGCTTAACTTTCACTTACTTGTTTTCTTTCAGAACAATTTGATTATGAAAGTTGTTGTAAAAAAACTTTTCATAGTAGTGGTTTGTATGTAACGGCAACTCGAGACATGTTGTTTTTTACTGAAAAGAACGTTAAGATTCCTAAGTTAAAGATTATTGCATCTTATTTCGTTATTATGTCTTAAGAAATATATGGCTTAACGTATTAAAAATTACTTTGATCGATCAAAAAATTGTTTTACATGCAGACATAAAAACAAAACCATATCATCTATTCAGAATAGCTTACAGATTTATTAAGATAAATTTTGTGGTATGTTCTTCGGCATTATAGTACTGATGTAGAGGATAGTAGAAGCTCTTCTTTACAATACTTTGTCACATCACTCCTGATAATTCTTCAAAATTGTACTAAAAAATATTTACGTTAATCTATGTACACCTTTTTTTATACATGTAAAAGTATAGTATTAACCTATAAATACTTAAGTATTATTAAATCAATTCTTGTTACTATCCAAAAATAGCAAAGGGAAGAACAAACATCGAACTAAGGGAACAGTTTATTCTGGCAGATGGTGTTAGCCAATCAATGACGGCCTTTAGATCGAAACCAAGTCCTACACTTCAGCGGAATCAGTTTTTGTCATCTGGGCCTATTACAAAGGTAAATAATACATATGTATATATATATATATATATATTGTCGATATACTTAATAATGTGTGCGCTACAATGAATTTTATTAATTTTCATTCAAGCACGCAGTGATGGTCCAAAGCCAATATATTCACGGTGTGCGTAGAGTTCAGAGGAAAATAAATAAATCATCCCAATCAGGCGTGTAAAAACAACGAGGCCCAACAAACGCCTGAGCCAATGATTTGGAGAGGGGAGCAGCACGTGGAGGCATCACCGGCAAACAAACACAATCAGCACCTGTTTGTATAATCCATCCCTTCCAAAAAAAAAAAAAAAAAAAAAAAAAAAAAAAAAAAAAAAAAAAA